GCCTGCGCCGCGGGGATGAAATCGTCTGTCCTTGTGGCGGCGAAACGCCCCTGCACTGCTGGCCCCGTCGCGGCCGGTGGCGGCGGGTCGACGGAATCCGCCGCGTCCCAGGGGGGCCGCGCCCGCGGTGGCCATCGCGGCTCCTGCTCGTCCGCCGGCGCCGCTGCAGCGGCCCCGGGATAGGCCGCCACTCTCTGCGAGTAGTGCATCACCTCCTGATTCGCCACCTCGGAGATGTAGTCCACGATGCCGTTCGCAACGGAGACTGCGAAAGACCAGGGCCAGCGCCTGGCCCGCTCCGTCTCCTCTCTGCCTTCGATCGTCTCGTGTTCATGTCCGCCGTCGCTCTGAGACATCGCTGCGTGCCGTGGTAGAGCCTCGCGTGATGCCCAGAGCTCCGTCTCTTTCCTCATCGGTACTCCAGTTGAGCTTCTCAGACCTGCCACGCGCTGATCCATCATGGGGTATTCAAGTCCAGGATACGTCGCATCACCGCGACCATCGCACCGCGCTCCAGACATCCCCAGGGGGACCACTGTTCGTCCTCATTCTCGAGATCTGAGCTGCGTACAAAACCGAACTTGGATCCAACTCGACATTTCCCGCGGACGCAGACGCCACTAACGCGGCCTCTTCCCCCGCAGATGTCCGGGGCGCCCATGCCAGACGTCGTCTTCGCGAGGAAGGCGACATGATGCGCGAGATTGGCGGCTTGGCGGACTTCCGGGCCTTCGCGCCGCGAAGCTCCATCGTCGCCTGCGAGTCCGCGAAGACAAGGTGTGGCATCCACCTTGGTGGAAGTCTTCCTCGGTGAAGTGCGCAAAGTAGTCGTCGTCATCTGAGTGCGTCTCGCATTCTTCGCAAATCGCGAAGAGCTCGCTGCTCGTGCCCAGTCCCTTGATGGAATCGCCGCAGTCGTCGCGTCAAAGTGATTCTCAATCTCGAACTTCTTCCTGTATGAGCTCTCTTCTCGTCGAATGTCCGTGGTCGCATCTGGCTGGATTCTCGACTCTGACGGTGAACGGTTGCCCCCGACATCGAGAGCGTCGTTGATTTCCCGAAACATCGCCACCATGTGCTGAAGATGTTGCTCGTCTCGTTGCTGCTTCCGCTGGTCGCTGCCCGATGAGCTCCTCCAATCGCTCTTGCGCCGTCGCCCTTTGCCCCGGCGTGCGCAGGGCTTCGCCTTGACCAGGAAAGACGCTCGAATGCAGTCGATCCGGTCGCTCCAACCCCGCTGGCCAGACTCGTCTGGAACGGGGGGCGCGTCGAAAGAGCGCCAATGGATGTCCGCCTCGTGGGGTGCCTCTGGCCGCAATCGCCGGACCGTCGGGTCTGCCCGCGTGGCGCTCCACGTTCGGCGATCAGCATAGCTGCTCCACCTCCTGCCGCGAGCTCGAGCGCGCTCCTCAGGACGCCCGCAGACGTCGTTGTGGGCGACGCCCTCGTTCGGCCCCGCGGCGCCCCGGTAGATCTGCCCAATGCAATCGAAAAAGTCCTTCCGTATGATGCCGTTTGAGGTCTCGAAGCTCCCTGCCGCATGCCTGGTCGTAGGCCGGCACTTGCGCCATTAGCCAGCCTCCTTCGCTTGCCGCTCATCCTCGTAGCCAGACCGAGACGATGACCAAGAACCTGCAGCTGTAGCGGCGTCGCCTCATGGCGCCCAGCAGCTGCTCCGGCCGTCGCGACCGGATCCCCGCGCCCTTATTGGTGCTCTGAGGGTGCAGTCGGCGACTCGTCCTCGAAGCGAACCTCCTTGTGGGCCGTCTCCTGCATAAGCGCCGCCGCGGGCCCGGGGCGGCCGTCGCCCTGGGCGTCGCACGACGCGCCGCTCCCTGCCCCGAGCTGCCTGGCGCAGCCCCGTACCCCGTGACGACGGGACCTCGGCTGCCTTGGTCCACGGGCTTCGACTGCAACTTGTGGACCGTGCGTTCCGTCGCCTTCGTCGCGGCAGCCTCCTTGAACGCTGAGCGCCGGAGTAGCCGATGCCCGCTCCTACTGGCCTTCGGGCGGTAGCTCCTCGCGCCGGCAGGTGGCGACAGCTCTCGACGTCCTGGTCCGCGCAGGTGTAGAGTGCCAGGGCCGCGCTCCATGACTGCGTCGAGCTTCTTCAGGGAGCTGTTTCCAAGCAGTGCCGGGGCGTCGCTGTCGGGGATGACGGGCGCCGCGCGCGAGTCCAGGTTGCCAGCGCCTTCGCTATCTGGGCTGATCTCCTGCGTGCCAATCGGTAATCGCCATTGCCGGTGGCAGCGGTCGGGGCCCATGCCGACGCCGATGACCTCTAGGGGTTCGTTCAGCATCATCTCTTCGGCGTTGTGTCCAAAGCGCGATGCCTTGGCTGCCTGCTGCCTGGCCCGCCGATCCCCCGCGAGGTTCCGCGAGCTCCCGGGCCAACACAGATGCCCGTGTCTCCGTTGTCGAACCTCGTCCGTTTATGTCCGACGTAATGCGTCTCGCCCTCTTTGTTCAGCGGCCAGGCGACTCCGTGGAATTCCTACTCGTTGTCCGCGGAATCGATGCTCTGGTGCTGGTCGTAGCCCTCGCGCTCGATCTCCTCGTCCGAGTCGCGCTCCTCCTCGTCGTCGAAGTAGCTCTCGAACTCGTCGTCGAAGATAGAAAGGCCCACCTGCTGCTCTGCATCGACGGCCGCGCGGGCATCATCGACAGGTGAACCCGAGATCTGCCCCCAGCTGGCCGCCGCGCCGTTCGCGCTCAGCGGCGTGGCCGATGCTTTCGGCGGGGCTGCTGTGAACTTGAGACCGCCTGTGCTCAAAGTCTCCTGCTGGGGTTCCTTCTCGTAGACGTCGGACCTTCTCAATCCTTCTGGCATTGTCGGCGCCGTTGTCGGCGTGGCTGCTTTCGGCGAGACCATGCCTGACAGCGGAGCTCGAGGACTCAGCGGCTTGGCCCTGGCGGTCTCTCCAGCGGCCGTCGAAGTAGAGGATGAACCAAATATGTGGTCGAGTCCACAGGTTGGCTTGTCTGGCGTGAGTCCTGGGGTGTTCGTCATGCTTTCGTCTCGCTCACGCTCGGCATGCCCATTGTAGGAAAGGCTGGTCCTCCACTCGCCGATGATGTGGGCCCGCTCGGTCTCGAAAGAGGTTCCCGGGTAGCGCTCGACAGGACCGCCTTGTTCCCGTCTTCCAGCTCGCGTCGATCTTGAATCGCCATCTTCGGCTCCGCCGCAGCCGGTGCGATCGCAACTCGAACAAATACTTTCGAGCCTGTCGCGCTCGCCTTGCTACCAGGGGCTTCCGGCTTCTCGTCGGTCGCGATGCTCTCTGCCGCGAAAAAGCTGATGGCTCCAGAGCCGTAGGCTGGCGCCGACGATGTTCTCGGAAATGTCGCAGCCGCTGTAGATGAGTTGGCCGCGGAGCCGGCGTTGATGTGTCTCTAAAGTTGGAATGCGCATCGTGCCTGTGTCTCTAAGGTTTAAGTGCGTCGCCTGCGTCTTTAAGGCGTAAGAGCGTGTCGTGCCTGTGGCTTTAAGGTTTAGATGCGTATCGTGCCTGTGTCTCGAATGTGTAAGTGCATGCCATGTCCGTCTCTAACATTTAAGTGTGTGTGTGTGTGTCGTGTCTGTGTCTCTCAGGTTTGAGAGCGTGTCGTGTCTGTGTCTCTGAGGTTTAAGTGCGTGTCGTGCCTGTGTCTCTAAGGTTTGGTTGCGTGTCGTTTCTGCTTCTCTACGATTTAAGTGCAAGCGGCGGCGGGGGCACAAACAGCCCCACCGGGGCCACTGGGCCACAGAAGGCCCCACCGGGGCCACAGAAAGCCTCAACGGGCAACAACAAGTTCCAACGGGGGCTTTCAAAGTCTTTTCTCGGCCTGGGGTGGCCCATTCAGTTCTTCATCGACACATGCATATCCACATGCATAATTTTACGTGGCGGCGGATATTTGTTTGGGTTGGCTCGCGGTCGTCTATGCTGTCCGCGTAGTGCTCACTCCCGGCGGCAATCCATAAAAGGCGGATGCCCACTTTTGCCTCTGAGTGGGGATTTTTACTGTCAATCTTGAGAGGCCTCGCGCAACCCCGGAACAACAAATGGGTTGGCTCGGGGCTCGCCTGGGGCCTTCCTGGGCTTGCTGGGGCTGGCCCCAAGACGGCCCCAAGGCGTGCTCGGAGCAGTCGCCCCGTGGCCCGGGAGGCGCGGGAGGCACCGTGGCCCCGACCTCCCGCGGGCTCCCAGGAGAGGGCGAAGTTGGCGGCTTCCCAGCGGAAGGAGGCCGAATCGGCCGAGGGAGGGCCACCCCTCAACGAGCGCGTGCCACTACTCGCAGATTGCCGGCTCGCAAACGTCCGAAAACCACGCGTCTGCTTCGGTGTAGCCTATCGTAGATCCCCCGCGGCGGATCCAGGCCATTTGCGAGCAGTTACTTTGCGAAAGTGTGGAACGCGCTCGTCTGACCCCGCGCTCCCTGCGCCGTCAGCTGCCCCTGCCGGGCTTATTCCCTCGTGCCCAGTTTCTCCCCCCTCGCTCCAGGGAGGCGCCCTCGTGCGAGGCGCGCCACTCTCGAGTGGGGGCTCTCGCGCGAGTGGGAGGCGCGCTCGTGGGAGGCGCTCGAGTGGGGGCCCTCGCTCGAGGGAGGCGCGCCTCGTGTGCGGCCGCGCCGGGGCTGCGGCAGCAGCTCCGCCCTCCGACGGTCCGGGGGGCGGGCAGGGCCGGGGCCTGCAGCGCGGGGACCGGCTTTTCATCCTGAGCCGTTCTTTGACGCTCCCGAGGCCTGGTGGGGCCCGTGGGAGGCCGAAAATATAGACAAACCTCCCACCAGGATTCTTTCCTTGCCCGAGGGGGTCTGGGGCCACGAGGGAGGGCAGGGCGAGCCGGGAGGCGAGCCACAGACGCACTGGGGCCACCCCACGCTCCAGCCGCCGTCGGCCGGCCCCGCTCCTCCTCCGAAGCGAGGGGCCTCCGACCGCGGATGCCCGCCTGTCCGCCTGTCCGCCTCGCCTTTCCGCTGGCCGCGCGCGCCGCGCGAGCGTGTGTGCTTCCTTTTCTGAGGGGGAGAGCGGTTCGCGCCTGCCCTGAGCTGTGGCCTCGGCTGTGCAGTTTACCATCCTGCTGCGCTGGAGGGAAGGAAGGGCACGCCGACCATGACCAAGACTGAACGCGGAACCGTCTGTGCTGACCTGGGTCATCGTCCATCGTGGTCATCGTCAAGTCGTGGGTCATCCTCGCGAACCGGCGACGGCCGGCATGGACCATGACCAAGATCGGCGTCGACAAGATCCAGCGCCATCCTCGTCATGGTCATCGTGCCCTCTTCCCCCGACGCGCGCCTCGATCAGAGGACGTGGCCATGGCCGCGAGGGCGCCACAGCGTGGAGGGCGACGACGGCCGGACTGCTGCCGACGCGGGCCCCGGAGGCAGCTCCAGGATCTCGACCCGCGTCTCCTTCCCAAGCGCGTCGCTCTCCGCGCCCACGGCGGCGCAGGCCCCCGGGCCGCTCGGCCCTGCCACCACGAGCTGCCGCGCCCGCCCGCGGCAGGCGAACGCGGCCTCCTCGTGGGGCCGGAGGCGCCCCAGCTCCTCGAGGAACGCCCCGCGGTTCGGGCGGCCGACGTCGGCGACGAGCACCGCGCTGCCCCGCTCGCGCGCCTCGGCGATGCGCCCAGCCACTCCCACGGCGGTGTCCCTGTCGTAGAGCACGTCGGACGCCGCCACCAGGTCGGCGGGCGGCACCGGCTCCGCCGAGGCACGGACGTCGAAGAGCGCGGTGCGCAGGCGCGGGGCCAGGCCCTGCCGCCGCGCGGCCTCGGCGACGAGCTCCAGCGGCAGCTCGCGGAAATCTGTCGCCGTGACCTGGGGAAACGAACAGACACCCATACCGCCATGCTCTGGACCTCCCCCGGGCTGCGCTCAGACCTGAATTTCGAAGCGCGTTCAGCCGTGGCGACGGCGGCTGCCCGGAAAGCTCAAAAAGGCGAAAACGAGGTAAGGGTAGCAGGCAGTATCGGTACCTTTTCCTCCCTTGATGGCCGAGGCGCCCATCGCGGCCGCCGTCAGCGACGCGAGGCCGCAGCCCGCCCCGAGCTCGAGCACGCTGGGCGGCCGCGGCGCTGCGGCGACCCAAGCTGCCACAGCCTGCGCCAGCACCTGCGCGGCGGGCCACACGGCGGCCCCGTAGGGGTCCACGTCCGCGGAGCCCCGCCCCAGCGCATCCACCGCCCGCTCCACCAAGCGCTCCTGCCACTCCACGGAAGCCTCCAGCACGCGCACCGTGAGCCCCGGTGCGACGTTCGGGTCGGGCGAAAGGGGAGCATAGCAAAGGGGGGGTTTGAGAATCAGCTCACGTAGCTGATTTTCCCGGCGCCTCCCGGCGCCTGGAGGCGGCCATGTATCGAGGAATGGGCCCCCTCGGTGGGGCCGAAACCAGCTGCGTGCAGCAGATTTCGTACCCCCCCCTTTCCCAATCCCCCCCCTCTCGCCCGGCCCGAGACGTGCACGGGCACCTCCACCACGCGCCCGCCCCGGAGCGGGCCCCCCGCCGCCCGCGCCGCGGCGCGCGAGGCGGTCGCCGCCGCGCCCAGCCCCGCCGCCCAGCCGGCCGTGCTCCCGCGGCGGCGCGGCGGTGGCGGCCGGGGGAGCAGCGGCGGCGGCGCGGCCGCCGCCAGGGCGGCGGGCCTGGGCCGGACCACCAGCAGGGGCAGGGCGGCCATCGCACGGCGGACGGGCGCCGGGCGGGGCGGGGGCCACGCCTGGGCGGGAGGGGGGGGGGAGCTGGAGGCGAGAGGGGCGGGGGAGGGGGACGGAGGGAGGCTCAAGATTCAGGGAGGGGGGGGTTGGGGGAGTGGAACGGGGGGCAGGGCAGGGGAGGGGGGAAGGAGGGAGGCAGGGCAGTGGGGTGGGCGGGAAGGGGTGGGCAGAAGGGGAGGGAACTGGAGGAGAGGGAGGGGAGGGGAGGGCAAAGGGGGGCTGGGACGGGGGGATGTCCATACGGGTGTGACGTGCTTGGCGCCGTCGCTTTTACTGGCCATGCGGTTTCCAAAACCGCGCGAGCAATCTACGAGTCGACAGGCCGATCGCCACTGCTTCTCCAACCTCCGTGAGCCACCATTCCCAGCGTGAGTATGATGTTAGACAATCAGCATGACGATTGACGATGCGTGCACGGAGTGCAAGACAGGGGACATGTCTGCAATATTTTGTCACACTGGCCAAAGCTGACGCCCGCGGCCATCCACAAACGCACACCGTGGCAATTACGATTCGCAGCAACGGTGTCTACTCACACCAATGGCGAGGTCCTACATACATAAGCAGCGCAGTTGGAAGACATGAAATTTACCAAAGCCAGCATCAGACCAGACGGTAAGTGCTGCAAAGCGCCGCGGCTCGCGACCAGGGGCCAGCGAACACGGATCGCAAGTATAGCACCAGGTCGCCTAGGATCCGCTGACCCTCCTCTGGGGGCACCAGTCTGTAACGTGTCCTGCTGGACTGCTGTCTTGTCAGCGTCTCTTGTTTCAGCCCCTCGTTCTGCCTCTTTGTTCGTGCCTAGCGCCCCTCCAATGCGGTCTCGTTTCTACTGTCTGCTAGATCACGCGGCGCCAGAACAAGACTCCCGGAGCGATGTCCGTTAGCAAGCCCTCTTAGCCCCTCGAAGATGCCATGATATTCAGATATGGGACATACCAGACGGCCCAGAGAGCCATCGAGAGGCTCCGAAGAGAGACCCGACAACAGAGACGGTCCAATACTCCCCAGTGGCGCCTCCCAGACGGGCAACGAGGACTTCAAGATTCTGCCTAAAGGCCCCAACACGCCCCACGAGAGGGCAAATGAAACTGAAAAGCAATCACGCATCCCCCCGCATGCGTGGATGAGAGATGGTAGTGGCCCAGGATGGCCCAGCGAAGCCCTGGAAAACCCAACATGCCTTTACACATTCCCTGGGAGAACCGAACAATGGACCAAAAGGCGCCCCAGGCTTCCTGGGGGGAGGGGGAGGAGGAGGAGGAGGAGGAGGAGGAGGAGGAGGAGGAGGAGGAGGAGGAGGAGGAGGACCAGTGTAAACCCAAGAGTCACCGACGATGTTGGAATTAACCCTCCCTCCAAGCTTCCTCATCATAGGCGCCTACGACGGTTCATTTCCATTGAAAGAACTGCCTCGTTGCAAGACATCCGTTTGAAGACCCTGAAGCATGCCAAAACAATGCCCTCGGGTTTTCAACGCAACGGATCAACCTGACTGCTGCGTCTTGACGACAAGGAATCATGACAAAACGCGATGCTGGGAGATTCAACACAACGAATCATCCGTAGCCATTTTGGCTCAGGCCTGCCTCGGGCGCGCGCGGGCGGGCTCGAGAAATGGCGGCGGCGGGCTGCCCCTCGCTGTGGCGGCCCTCTTCACGGCGTGCATTGGAGACCTTGCGCCTCGGCCCGACGGCCGCTCGCCGAGCGGCCCGCGGCCGCGCGCGGGTGGCCGCCCGCGCTGAGTGCGCGCGGCTGCGGGAGGCGCTGGACCTGCGGGGCGCGGCGCGCGGGACCGACGGCGTCTCCGTCGAGGCCGCCCGCCGCGAGGAGCTGGCCAGGCCCTCCCTCTTGGCGCGGCTCCGCGGCGAGCCCGAGAGCGGGGCCAAGCGCCTGGTGCGCAACGTCTCGCTGCACGCGAGGCAGTGCCCGCAGGCAGGCGCTCCCCTTTCGGAGTGGAGGGCCGCGCAGCGCGGAGGCCGCCTGGATGGTGGAGCCGGCGCCGTGGCTGCTGGAGGCCCCATCGTCTGCGAGGTGGAGCTGTGCATCGGCGAGCCGCCCGTGGAGCTCCCGCCGGCGCAGCCCAGGCTACGCCGGGAGGCGGCCCCGTTCTGGCCGCGTCGACCACCGGGGCGGTGGGACTGGCCGGCTGACGTCGACGCGCTGCTGGAAGGGCTGGGTGTGCAAGGGATCCCCGGAGGTACTGCTGGCCGTGTGCCGCTGCCTCCCGTCTCGGGACCTGGCTCCGTCGAGCTGGCCGAGCAATTTGTCGAGCGCGGGCTGGAGTCCGACTCTGCCTCCGAGCCCGTGGCCGTGAGCGCGGCTGGGGCTGGCGCAGGCGCGTCCGAGGTGGCCGCCGCCTGCTCGGCCAGCGCTGCGCCTGGAGGCCGCGAGTCCGCCGCGCAGCAGTACCTGAGCAGGCATCCTGCGGCGATCCTGCGTGGAGGCCGCGAGGCCGCGGGCTCTCGCGGGGCGGCCTGGCGGCGTGCTCGGGAGGCGGTCGCCCGCGCCTGGCTCGAGGTACCAGCCGCGGGCGGGCATGCGGAGGCCGACGCGGGTGCTGCGGGGAGCTCGGGTTCGCGTGCGGGTTCGTGCTCTAGTGGAGCGGACGCCGCCGCTGCCCGCGGCTGGGCTGCAAGCTACAGAGGTTTGATTTCGTCTTCGAGTGAGGCGGACTTCGAGGAGGAGGAGTTCGTCTCGGATGGCAGCGAGTACGGCTTCGATTACGGCCCCGTGGAGCAGGACTTCGGCGTCCTTGCCTGCATGAGGGCCAGCGACGAAGCTTGGCGGGCTGCCCAGGAGGCCCGACTGAGGGCTTGGGATGAAGCTTGGGAGGCCTGCCTCGAGGAGTCGATCAAGGAGGAGCCCCAGGAGAACTCGGAGCGCGGCGTGCTGGAGGACTCGCGGGCGTGGACGCTGCTGGCGGCCGCCGCCGCGGCCAAGGCGTCCTTCCTGCGCGGCGAGGCGGCGGAGGGGCTGCAGCTGCTGGAGGCGGCACAGCAGTCCGTGGACGGCTCCGAGGTTCTCGTTGGAGCCGAGCCGCCCGTGGGGGTCAGCCTTGTGGGGCCTGCCGCAGGCCCGCTGGCGGGCGGTGATGGGGGCGACGCGCATCCCAGAGGGGCGGTCGGAGGGCCCCTGCGGGGGATGGCTGCCCGCGCGACCGACCCCCCCTCGAGGGAGATGCAGCGGGAGCTCGAGGAGCGTGGCGGGGCCGAGTCCCGAGCCGCCCTCGGATGCAGGAATCGCGTGAGGTGAGTGAGTGAGTGAGTTTGTCGCCTTCTCAGATTGTGCGGAGGACTGCAGCTCGTATAAGCCCCGCAGAACACGCAGTGACTAGTGGATCAGTGCAGTTGCGAGTCCATTGGAATATTGTGTTGTATATATTATTTTCGGTCCTGCACTTGGTGTGGTCTTGTGTAGTATATGCTCTTGTCTGTGCTGCACTTGCTGGTAACTTGTGTAGTATATACCAGAGGTTTCGCCTTCTGTCTGTGCTGCACGTGTCTGGGAGGGGGCCCAAGGTGGCCTCCTCTGTCGGCGTTCTGGCCGCCACTTGCCTTTAAGGCCCCGTCTTTAACTTTCACTTTAACACAACGAATCAACATAACTGTTGCGCCCGCAAAATCCTGAATCCTTCCAAAACACCATTTCTGGCACATTGATCATGGGGATCCGTGAAACTCTTGCAAATGTTTAAAAAACGAATGAGCGCGGCGCTAAAGGCGAAAACCACAATTTGAAAACCACCCGCCCTCAATCCGTGAAGCTCTTGCAAATGTTTAAAACGAATGTGCGCGGCGCTAAGGCGAGAGCCATATTCTGAAAACCACCCGCCCTCCGTCCGTGAATCTCTTGCAAATGTTAAAAGCGAATGTGCGCGGCGCTAATGCGAGAGCCACATTTTGAAAACCAGCCGCGCTCAATCCGTGAAGCCCTTGCAAATGTTTGAAACGAATGTGCGTGGCGCTAAGGCGAGAGCCACGTTTTGAAAACCAGCCGCGCTCACTCCGTGAAGCTCTTGCAAATGTTTGAAGCGAATGTGCGCGGCGCTACGGCGAGAGCCACATTTTGAAAACCACCCGCCCGAAATCAGTGAAACTCTTGCAAATGTTGAAAACGAATGTGCGCGGCGCGAAGGCGAGAGCCACATTTTGAAAACCACCAATTCGTGAAATTCCTGCAAGTTCTAAAAACGAATGTGCGCGGCGCTAAAGCGAGAACAACATTTTGAAAACCACCCGCCCTCCATCTGTGAAGCTGCTGCCACTTCTTAAGCTTCAGAGTCATCAGTGATGAAGCAGTCTCAGGCAAAACGCCCGGCCCGCCCTAAAAACAGGCCTCGGGGTGCGACAGGGGAGAATTATTTACAAGGAGAAGGAATGGAAAAGTAAGAAGAAGAGGAAGAAGAGGAGGAAGGGAAGGAAGAGGAGGAGAAGGAGGAGGAAAGGAAATAGGACTTTGCCGCTGCGTTCCTCTGCCCGCCCTCCCGAACACGGTCCCGCCAATGACGCGGAGCTCCAGCCCCGCGCGCACCGGGAACGAGAGGGAGCCGATGCCGACGAGGCCGACGAGCGAGCCGAGGATGTGCACATCATCCTTGCCGAGACCGATGGAGGTGACCAAATAGTCTTTCCTCTGAGAATCTGGATAAGATGACAAAAGAATTAAGGTCTCGTGTTCTCTCTGCTCAGTGGTAGAGGATTCAGGGAGAGACATCAATGATATGACAAAGATACCGTTAAGCAATAGTACCCAATAATAAGAAGGGGGGAGGCCGGCCGGCCGACGACCAACGACGCGCGACGGACGAAGGCAGGCGCGCTCCTTTTCTCTCTTGAGCACTGAACAGCTGCGGAACAGTGCTGCATGACAGTACAGACAGTACATTGCAAGGCAAGCAGTGAGAGCAGCAAGATTATGACGAGGAGGAGAGGAGCATATGTACTCCCCCCGCGGCGGGCCTCGTAGGGCCCATCCAGCCACAGCGCCCCCAGCCTGCGCATATGTACAACCACCGGAGCCAACCGCAAAAAAGTTTTACAGCTCAGCGGTGGCTGCCGGGGGGCTGAGGGCCGAAGAGGCCCGACGACTCCTACCATTAGTTAAATATATTCTCTCCGCCGATTCGACTTTGTCGATCGGTAGAGCTCTCACAGCCGATGCGACTTTGTCGATCGGTTATTCCTGCAATGACTAAGTCACGCGGGCTTGGCCTAACTCAGATTGTCCCATGGATTGCT